GTGCGTGTGCGTGTGCGTGTGCGTGTGCGTGTGCGTGTGCGTGTGTGCGTGCGTGCGTGCGTGCGTGCGCGTGCGTGCGTGCGTGCGCGTGCGTGCGTGCGCGCGTGCGTGCGCGCGTGCGTGTGTGCGTGCGTGCGTGCGCGTGTGCGTGCGTGCGTGCGGATGCGCGTTTGCTTGCAAGAAACGTGTAATTTCCACATTGACAAACTGTACGTCTACATGTAGCTGAAACCAGGGTCGCGTGATCATTTCTTACCCTAGGTGCTACTACTGCACTATTTGGTGATGTCACCATAAACCTCGATCATAAATCAAACTGAGCAGTCCCTACATAGTCCTTATGTATTATCGCAACTGCTACAGATTATTCGTCATATTTACGTACTCGGTTGTTGCTAGCTGCTTTGTTTACGCGTATCCTGTAAAAAAACAAGCTGCGGTTGTAGTTGTCGACATGTAAGGAGAGTATATAGCCAAGGCTTTCCCTAAGTAACCCATTCGACACTCTCAGCCACAGTATACATCTGCCAGTGAACGGTAGTTATAGCGGTATTGTATAATAATTATTACACATGAACACCTTCGCCGCTTATTTTGGCTCTCGCCTATTTCGCTATACACCCTCGTGTGGAGCGGACACGATTTGCCGTATATTCACTCGTTATAAGGAGCTGTAATCATCTTCACCCAGTTAATACCCCTAGTGCCCCAGGTGATTTTGAATAAGAAGCCTATTTCTATAATGGTTCGATAGCTATGCTTAGTCATCCGTGTTCACTTCCACATGACGATTACATTAAATCGATAGACGACTGTATACGATTAAGATTCAACCTATAAATCAATTATCTTTGTAGACGGACTAATGCCAGTAAGCCTTTGACAACTGAGCTCTCGCATATCTGACTTGTCATATTTTCATGGGAGGCGATACTCGTTGCAGGCGCTTGCAAATGTCATTTATATTTCATGCGTAACAGCGACATTTTATTGAAAACGCTGCGCTCGACAGGCGATGATTTCACAGATGTGATGTTTGTATTCGTACGGAAGGCGCCACGTAGTCTGATAGCGTAACAGCGTAACAGTGGGCCAGACGGCTGTAATAACTGCTACCGGAGTGACGCATCCTCCCCCCACTTTGTTATATGATTCGGGCATGCATTGCGAAGAGCACGTAAGCTCATACGCACACGCACTGTGAACGGTAGTCTCAATGTGTGCGCTTCATAGTAAATAGATGCCCGTATTGCCGTGTCTTGTGATCGCTATATGCTGACAGCACATGCTGTAATAAAAGTCTGACTGTCGTGATCCTATACTGTATCATCGACATCATTACTATAATACTATTATATTATCTGCTAGCTGTGCGACTCGGCGGTCATCAGCCCTGCTATCGTATTATCTGCCAGCTATCGGCCCTACTGTTCTGCCAACTTCATTGCTATACCCTATAGCATCTGCCAGCTACTGTTCGGTCGTCATCAATCATGCTATGCCAGTGTCTAACAGAATCACGAGAATAATATAACTCGGGCGTGTTTATGCTGCTGCTGCTGCTGCTGCTGTTGTTGTTGTTGTTGTTGTTGTTGTTGTTGTTGTTGTTGTTTTTGTTTTTGTTGTTGTTGTTATTATTGCTGTTGTTGTTGTTGTTGTTGTTATTATTGCTGTTGCTGTTGTTGTTGTTGTTGTTGTTGTTGTTGTTGTTGTTGTTGTTGTTGTTGTTGTTGTTGTTTTGTTGTTGTTGTTGTTATTATTGCTGTTGCTGTTGTTGTTGTTGTTGTTGTTGTTGTTGTTGTTGTTGTTGTTGTTGTTGTTGTTGTTGTTGTTGATGTTGTCTACGTATGCCGCGTTGGTTTTCCTCTATCTATCTATCCCACTCGCGACCACGAGCCATAACTGATTAGGCTCTGTCTAACTCCCTGTCACCGCTCCCATTTCTCGTTTTCGCTGCTATATTCCTCGCGCGCTGCCTCATTCGGCTGGTATCGATTAATTGCCACAGTACCCGTCCTCATCTCTACGTTAGCTCTCGAGGTTTCTTTCCCGGCACTTCCTCAGAGTCTCAGACCTTGCTGCAGTCAGTGTAATGCTTCCCGCATTACCAGCTCCCCATCACAACATATCTAATAATACACTCTGTTACACTATAGCACCTATACCTAGCTTTCGTTGTTTATCCGTTTCCAAGCCGCCATATCCATCAAACCACCCCTCTCTGTGACATTCAGGCGTCCATCGTAGCCTCTTCCATGTCTATTCCATGCCTCTTCCATGTCTATTACTCTGGTTTTCTCTGTTCATATGCGCGGTAAATAAACCGAAGATCCGGTACACGCCTTCCCGTCGTGCTGGTGTGTACCTGGGCTGCTCGTGAGGACATTCCTACGACACCTTGACGCTTTCTTGGTTATAAACCACCGCGCAAACGGAACTCCTTTACCTAACGCCAACCTTTAGCAAACAACAGCCGCACAGGTATTACGCGTGGTATAACATACAGTAGGAGGAATAGTAGACAGTCGCTCTCCGCTTGTCCGACATGCTTTATTTCTGATTTCTGTCTCGTATAAAGGAAAGCGAAGGTTCGACCCGAACTCGTGATCAGTGAATGTACACATAATCTTATAGTAGTAGCGTATTATACGTTTTTGGTTGGACTGAAAGGAAGTGTTATGGTTGCCGATTAGGTTATCTCGATCGATTGGCACACATCTCTGTGACAGTGTGTGTCTAGAATATCCGCGCGGGAACGATTCGAAAGTGACGAATATATTTTCAGGCAATTAATATGAGTGAGAACAACATTATTGCTTTTCTAGCGACATCAACTCGGTTGAATTATCATACACTTTTAGCATTGATATAATAATCATGCGCAATCTCCAGCAACGTGATCCATCGGGAAACGCTATAATGACAATGTAAAGACCTTAGGCCTAGGGGTTCCTCATCGAAATGCAATAAACCAGAATACGTGCATGGTTCGTCGTTGCTGTGTAGCAAGCATGATTGAAAACCGCAACTGAGGCCATTCTTAAAAAATCATATGTTTGCTGTCCTCCGACCGACCCACGAAAATAGCCGCGACCCAAAAGTTTTTTTTTGACATTTTGAGTTCCATATTTTATTTTATTTTGTTTACATTTTTCATAGTTAAGACTGAAACACAAAGCATGTGTGGCAAACATGAGAACAGACTTAAAATAACTATTATGCCTCACACAAAAAAATTGACCTACTTACTAAAAAAATCATGGGTCGGGGGACAGCAAACATAGAATTTTTTAAGGATGGACTGATATGCAACACATCGCTACAAGTTCATTGGTAACACCGATAAGCGATGATATATGGCAGTATTTGTGCAAACTTCTATGAGCGCGTACGTAGAGCCGAAGAACGTTCGAGCGAGTAAATATGTCGCGATATGCCCGCATGTCCACAATGCTTGTGCAGCTCATTGCCATAATAGGACATTTTATGGTCTCTGATAAGTGCGTATAACTGGTTTAACAGATCTATATATAGGCCCTCTCCCACATTGGACAATAGCTCCCAACTACATGAACTATATACTGTAAATACATCGTTTGTATATGTTATGTCGTATTTGCATGTAAAGTGAAGTAACGTTGAAAACCTGAATCAATGGAATCAGTAATAAAGAATTAACATACAATAAACGAATGTGTTTTCATTTCGTAAAATAAGCAAATCAAAATCGCATAATGAGCAAATTAAAATACACACACCAAAATATATCAGCCAGCTTTAGCCTTGACTACGCCACTTGCGTTTTCTTCTCTGGCTAATCGAAGCGACTATTGTGTCTGCCGCTAATCGGCGCTGTACACGTACGTATCTGCCCTACAAAGACGAAGAGGTGTGGCGTTGACGATGGTAATAATGGGTTCCTCGGTATACTGTATCCGTATGATTGCGTGCATAATTACGCGAATGCGTGCCCTCATTTTGCATATGAGACGCATAGCTAACTAGTCATTCACAGTGTGTGACTGAACTCGTACGAATTCGACTCTGATTATAACTCGATCGCAGCGGGTCGTCGGACAATATGAACGAGAGTACGTCGCCTCAGTCTTAGTTAGTCCTTGAGACTACACGTGTATTCACTGCACAAGTATTGCGTGACGTCATTGATTTCGAATCAGTCACGATGACGTCGCGCCCCGCCGCAATTCTCGTGACGCATCACATTGTGCGATGTAACTATCGCTAATAATCACCGCGTCTTAGCAACGTAAACCCGCAGACGCGCATATCGCATTCTTGTGCATGTGGACGTCGAACCGTGTCCGGTTGGGACAGATTTAATGGGCGCCGACGCGTGCCGTTAGAGCTTGTACGTTTATTTCGTCTAAGTTTCTGACACAAATTAAGTTTCTTTTCTCACACCATTCATCACTGCGAGATGTTTCACGGACGATCGCACGCCGACTTTGTGTTTCCGTTCAGGCTCACGCCGATCGGCCTTTAAATACATTTCACTTCGCCCGCATTTACAGTTCGAAATTCGCTCTGCTATAGGCCTCTCTCTCGCTCTCGCTCTCTCTCTCTCTCTCTCTCTCTCTCTCTCTCTCTCTCTCTCGTCTCTCTCTCTCTCTCTCTCTCTCTCGTCTCTCTCTCTCTCTCTCTCTCTCTCTCTCTCTCTCTCTCTCTCTCTCTCTCTCTCTCTCTCTCTCTCTCTCTCTCTCTCTCTCTCTCTCTCTCTCTCTCTGTGTGTATCGCGCGCACGCTCTTTATCTTTCTCTGTCTCTTTCTCTTTCACTACTAACTACATCACGCGGTTACGGCGTATAACGCCTAGGGTCGTGCGCGCGCTCTATCGTCGTACAAAACAATGATAGGTAGCCAAGGGAGTTATCAGCCAACAAAACATTACGGTAGCGAATTGCGTTCGGGAAATTTCTGTCAGTGTACGTACGTACGTACAGTTCACACCAATACAATCACTCTCTCGTTCCCTTGAAATGCGTACGTATAGTTGCAGTGTGTGTGCGCACACGACATCGTACAGAGAGCGTACTCCCTGGAGAGCGTACAGCGACCTCTACATTAATTATTAACGACGAACTCGCCCGATGTATTAGCCCGTATTGTGTTAGATAACGTATGATTCATACAGCAAATGACCAAATAGGCAAAACTGGAGCAGTAGCGCATATCGAGCACGTGTGTTTCCCCGATTGCGTATATAATCCGTCGTGCTGTTTGACTTCGCCGAGGTAATTGTCGTATGTTAGGGCGTCAATCTGCCCCCTCCCCCGTGCCGCCGCGCGTTCGCTGCTCGTAACTGCATGCTTGCAGCATAGCAGTGCATGCGTGGCTCTGGTTGCAAGCCTCCCTGACAGCCAGCCGGGCAGCTAGGGCTGATGAACCCAAGCGGACGAAAATCAATATTTTGACTTTTTCCGCACCGAGTTTTATCCACACTTTCTGTAGACTCACGTCAATGGACTGAGCGATGGCTAGCTAATACAGGCAGGCTCGTCCGTGTATACCTTGGCGATACGCGTCGTTAGGAGATCGCCTACGTGACGATGACGCCGATAGTGACGATGATTTTGTTATTGTGGGTTTAGTAAGCCGCCAGTTATAAAATAAAATAAAAAACTATATATGAGGCAACATTTGATATTACACACGAGCCACGTATTACGAATGACTCAATAAGACGTAATTGTTCCTTTATTTCACGTTTAATAGCGTTACAGTTCCGATGGATACATTTTACATACACTTTGCATGACATTTAGCATGCATACATTTTGCATGACTGTAATTATATCGCTAGCAGCTCAGCTTCGGTAAGTTTCTTTGCTGAATATAAATTATTCATGTTATCAATCGTAACTCGTTATCATCCATCCCACGTGACCCGACGTTAGGCCTACATGCTGATAGCTGCACATGTGTGTTCCTTCCCGGTATCAGATGCGGAAGCTAACATTTAATTATCAACTGTCGTTTGGAAAAGCAAGTAAAAAGTGTTATTCGATTACATAGTAGTGCGCTGGTCGTTGCAGGCAGCCTTGCTGGAGCGAGTAAAGAGCGATCACATCATCTCAACTAGATTCGCGAACGAATACAAGAGACGGCGCACCGTTCTCATACAGAGAAAAAAGAGCAGCTTTGGCTTCACTCTACAGGTAAAGCATTTCTCTAGTCTGTGTGCTATTGGGAATTCTGTATGCATGTCTTCCTGTTGAATACGGCAACGCACCACTCTCAGCCCCTGTTCGTAAAAATAGACAGTTGTCATTGTGTAGAAGAATGACTCCGCAAAACGTTTAGTTAAACTTTTATATCCACATGGACCTCCGAAATAAATGAGTACAAATAAAAAAAGGCGTATCTAAATATTATTTTAGATTTAATCTACCGTGTGTTCGTGTCGTTACATGATCACACACGGATTGCGTCCAGCTTGCTATCTCTGGTGTGAACGAAATACACAGCAAAATAAATGCACAGCCATGAACATGGGTACAAAGTCTATGAAAATAGACGTGTTCGTTTGGTCTGGATCTGTCCGCGTATTTATATCTGCTGTATATTAGATATATTAACTCGAACGTACGTAACGAACGTAATGCGCGCACGCGAATAAAGGTATAGTGCATGACTCATCAGCTTGGCGACAGGTGACATTCACGGCGCTCGTGCACTATTGATCGCTCTAAATAGTCTAGCTATGATCTGCATACAAATTCGCCTAGGCTCGTGCATCAGCTATACAATGCCCACGCTGAGCCACAAAACACTACTACATATATATCAAGGGTCCATAATAGAAAATTCTCTTATTATCTCTATAGAGAATTTTCTATTATGGACCCTTGATATATATATATAGTAGCTTTCTTGCCGAAACAATAAAAACCTGTAGGCCTACCTGCTTGTGTAGCATGCACAAGAATCTAATATGATGTGTGTGGGTGTTATATTCATTATATAAATATAATATAATATTATAAATCTCCAATATATGTATGTATGTATATATTATATATATATATATATATATATATACATATATATATATATAACGTTAAGTGAGAACGAAAGTCTGTAAACTATTTAGGTCAATTATTCGTGTGCCATGTGTAATCTACCTATAATCTTCAAACGTTTTATTTAACAAGCTGGTGTTCAAATATATTTTGTTGTATACAGTCCCCATTTTCTCACCTCAATACGTGCGTTGCACAAATTATAAGAATACGGGTTCATCAGATGCCGACGTCATAATATATGTGACAGTTCTACGTGAGTGAAGGAGAGAGTCTGCGCTATATTGTCAAGAGTCCATAATAGAAATGTTCTGTTATGGACTCTTGATATTGTACAGTATGAACGTCTTTTGCAGACATACGGAATTCACCATCCTCATCGCAATGAGCTGGAGGTGCTCACCTATATCGACTACGTTGAATATGGCGGCCCGGCCTATCTCGCTGGCGTCAGACCAGGTAGGAGAATTCGAGTAGGCATTATAGCCAATATCGGCAAAGCGATTTAATCGTGGAAAGAGATGCATGACTATTGGATTACGTTTCAGAAGAGTCCATACACATTTATGCTTATTAGACTCAAGGTATTATGTGGTTCAGCTTAACTATCCATCACCGTAGTTACCATTCACATAGACTTGCTCATCACATTCATACGACTTCGTAGGTCACCTTCAGTCTATGTTCAAACATAAGTACAGGCAAAATCAATAGCCGTTTTTATATTTAGTTCTTCATATCCTCATCCGTAGCCATATTTAAATGTGTTGATCATTTAGTATAAATGAGAATAAATCTCTTGGTCATATCCTCTTCTCCATTTATATATGTATCTTCCTGTCTTTATATAGATTCATCCCTCTCTCCCTCCCTCGATCTCTTTCTCTCTCTCTCTCTCTCTCTCTCTCTCTCTCTCTCTCTCTCTCTCTCTCTCTCTCTCTTTTTCGATCTTTTTCTCGCTCTCTTTCTCTTTCGATCTCTCTCTCTCTCTCTTTCTCTCTATCGTTCAGCTTCTTCCTCTCCCCGATTCATGTTCTCTTTCTCTCGGCCTCTTCCTACTCCCTCTCTCCCCATCTCGCACTCACTCGCCCACCCACACACTCACTCACTCACTCACTCACTCACTCACTCACACTCACTCACTCACTCACTCACTCACTCACTCACTCACTCACTCACTCACTCACTCACTCACTCACTCACTCACTCACTCACTCACTCACTCACTCACTCACTCACTCACTCACTCACTCACTCACTCACTCCCTCCCTCACTCACTCACTCACTCACTCACTCACTCACTCACTCACTCACTCACACTCTCTTACCGTCTCTTAATTTCTATATCTAGCTTCGTGGATATCTATCCAACTAGCAAGGTTGTGGTGTTCGCGAATCACTAACTAAAACATGAACCGTATAATGTCAATCAAAATTTCAATGATGTCAGGGCATGCGGGCACGCACGTGCGCGTGCGCACTCACCATTCCAAAAGATTCTACCGACGAGCTGTAACTATAATTATAGCGGTTTCGACACGATTTGTACATATAATTATGCTTTTATCTCTCGATAATTCTTCTCGACGGATATTGCAACTAAATATAGCATTGGACAAATGTTAAATAACATTTTACGTAGATGCAAATAAAAGTTGTATCGTGCGGGCCAGACAGGAATGGCTCTGCGGGCTCGCATACACGATTGTACTCGTCAATTCTGGAAACACCTGCCGAGTATAACTATAGCTCCTTCGCATATATATGAGTGCTACACGAACGTATCGCGCGCACGCACGCACGCACGCACACACGCACGCATACACGTAATTACGCACACGCACTCATAATGACGCCCTCGCCCACTGACTCACGCGCGCACGCATGCACAGACACACGCATGCACGCACGCACACATGCACGCACATATAGGCCCCTACATGCACACGCAGTCCCACATGCATGCGTACAAAACTTTTAGTATGGATTCATATTTCGTTGTATTTTTGAGTGGATGTCTGACAGTGTCGAAGTCGGGTGAACCGTTCGAACTTCGAACCAACATGCTCCCATCTCGTGCAGTTGCAGCTCTGACGCACGAAGTCACCAGAAACAGCGAGAGCCTGTTTTCTACCCGACAACACGGGGTGCGAGCTGCTTGTAGTATCTTTAATTAATTCCAAGTGTGTCGTATATCAGACGTGCGTGCGTAACAGACGAAATACAAATTTGTTTTAAACTCAAAAGCATTATCGTGTTATCCAGTAGGACGATCTCGAGATCGATCTCGAGCACACGATCTAATTCTAACAGAGTACGTCATAACAAAAGGCGCATGTGAAAAGCCGAGATGACTAGTAAAATAAGTACATTAGAACCTCGGCGATGGCGAGTAGAACGACTACAAAATTAATGTGCCTGTGACTGCGCCCGCGCGCCTAGCAACGACTAGCGGAGTCATTCACGACACGCGCCATCGTCACGCGTCGTTCGAATCTAATCGGGAGCGCTGCGTGCTGCATCGTGTCTAGTCGTGTCGCCTGCAGACGCCGACTGCCCACTATTGCGCAGCACACAGAATACGCGCGATAATGACGCCGTAACGATGGCGACGCGCAGACGCCCCGGCGCCCCAGCTGAAAACGCTCATCGTAAATTTTTCATGCGCATTTCGCGTATAAATATTTAAGGCTCGGGGAAATCACTTTATATCAGCTCGTTCGCGGGGAATGCGCCGCGGCCCGAACAGTTTTTATTTTTTTCAGTTTCAAACATTCAGATTTTCGCATTCGCATCGCATCGCGCAGGATAGGCCTACTCTTAGATAATTAACTGTATTCGCGTCATTACCACGTCATTCACAGAGGAAGACGTATATAGTCCTCTTATAGAATCGAGTATTTACTGGTGTCGTGCTGTTAATAATGCATTCCATGCTGTCAAACAACGTTTATAATTCGGATTGTGAGATTTGTTATGAAAATAATAAAGCGCGCAATGTGGTAACGTCATAGGGCGCGGTGTATTGGGTTGGTTCCCCTCTTTCGTCTTCGCCAGTAGCACCAAACCCGCAATTGGGCTATTCGTGAAGTTAGGAGACGAGTGAAAAGACAGTGTAACTAGTCAACGCGACAAGCGACAAGCTCGATCAAGACTACTGGCCGATCTTTTGATCCAGATAGCTATCAGTCATTTAACTCGCATTGGTCATTGAATTCTCATTGATGATTTAAGACTCTACTATGGTCAATGTAAGAATTCAGTACGTACTTTTGAGCAGGGTTTGCTATTTTCTGCAATGACCGCAAATACCGCAAATACCGACACCTCTAAAAACTTGTTCCTCATCGCCGCGGGCGTTTTCGAGAGTACCCGTTTATCTTTTGCAATCACTTATCTTGGTAATCGTGTAGCGATCGATTTTCACGCTGCCGGTGTCTAGATCTTACCTATAGCTATACCAATCTTAGGTACCCAAGCACTTCTCATGGATTTAAAGGGATTACGTCACGAATTTTCTATGGTAAAATTTGTAAAAAAAAAATTCCCATTTTTTTACATTAAAAGTAAGAACTAACGAGACTAAACAAATCGTCAAATTCTTACCTGATAAGATTGTTTCTCAACTAGTTAAAAATCCAAAAAACCTGGACAATTTGAATTAATGTTGTCTAACATTAATTGCTTGTTAGGGGCTATGTATGGGTCACGAGTGTATGTTCACATCGAACAATATAGTAAAATAGGAAGTGTAATGCAGCAATTTAACCATAAAATGTAAACAGAATTACTTATATTTTGTAAAAAAGTAGAAATATTTTTTTTATTCTTTACTATTTACGGTGACGTAATCACTTTAAACACGCTATATACAGTAAGAAGCGACAAATGAATTTCCACGTGGAATTTCCCACAAATAAATTTCCCTTTCGGGGTGCAGTCAGTAGCTACTATAGTGTTGATACACATGCAAGAAATCAATAAAGCACTATGCATTCAGATTAATGTTCATACAAAGTTTATCTGTGTGATAATCAGCAATAGTATTACATAGTAAGCAGGCTTACCGCTGTAAGTATAATTGCGAAACTGTAGTGCGCTTACCTAGACTGGTACCCGTTCGCTACACGACGTTAGTGTAGCGTGTGGAACTGTCGACCGGGTACCAGTCTATATTATACCTAGCCAGCTAAGCCTCGATTCTCGTGTGAATGCTCCAGGTTGTCTTAGCACGGTATTTCAGCCGAATTCAGCACCAGATAAGTACGGAACCAGCGAGGCCGTGTATATCGTGGGAACGCAGCTATAGTATTTTTCAATTTGTTGATGAGTCATCGCGCAAGCTATTTTTATTCATGAATACTGTAACGAAGTGTAGCGGCAGTAGGTTGTTCGCTGCAAAGTCTAGCTCCGACCTATTTTTTAGTGTCGACGTGTCTTGTCTTTGTTTCCGAAGGCGCCAAATTATCTCTCAGCTGTTCTAAACTCTTCTCTAAAAAAACTAGGAACTATATCTGCCGATAGCCAGGGGCAACACAAAATTACGAAATATTACAGTTGAACATTGAGTGAGCGTACACGTTTTTACTGCGATACACAATAAGACGTTGTCATTTCAAATAGGCGCCCGAGAAATTGCCACACTTTCCGTGTGCAGTATTTTCGTTAAAAAAATAGGCTTCGTCGTCACACATGCCTGCGGTTCGTTCATTCTTGCGGAAATACTTCATAGCTTCTCATGCTATCAGTGATGCTTTCTAAAAAAATTTAACCATTTATAACGCTGCGACGAATTGTATGCCCATCTCTTACAACTCTCACATGCCCACTGCCACCCACAACCGCCCTACAGACACCCTGTACAACACACACACACACACACACACACACACACACACACACACGCACGCACGCACGCACGCACGCACGCACGCACGCACGCACGCACGCACGCACGCACGCACGCACACACACAGTA